GACTCTTGTCACAGCCCATCCTTTTTACCCACAACTCGAGCCCTTTCAAGCCGCTCACTTTTTTCCATAAACTGTCTTGCGTTTGCAACGTCGCACCTCTTCGGAAGGACACATGTATTATTAAAACAGGATTCAAGTGCTATCCCTGCAGGGACACTCAGAGACTTTCACAGGTTTCTGTCAGTGCCATCATTTTGATTTAACTGTGGCTCCAACTTTTTTTTTTTTTCACAAACATTAGGAATCTGTGACACCAGTGCACAAGTCAATATTTTATGCGCTTGGAAACTCAAAGGCTAAGTTTAAGCTTTAAAGCACTTCTCTTCATTTATTACCCATGTCACCTCGCTTCATGAAAGTCTTAAAATCTCGTCGAAGGTATTATTCTTGAAAGTCGTGTAAAGTGCAAGAGAAACGACAAGAAAAAGAAGATGTGGCGGGAAAGTGGATGGTGATACGGTGGTAATGCTTTGTCCGCTCTCACACATGTAAAATATGTATGCCAGGGTCTCGCAAGGCCCCCAGAGTCACAGAGCATCATCCCTACACCATCTTCACTCAGTTTGTGGATGTCGATTAGTGATCAAGCCTGTGGAAGTGTTCTAAGAACAACAAAAAAAAAGAACAACACAAACAAAGTCCTACTAAACTTTACATGCCCTCGTTGCCCCAGTCAAGAAAACACAGTTCACCAAAAGTTCATGTGTCCATTATCATCTGTGAATTTGGTTATATGTCTGCGACTAGTAGTGAAAGAGGAGGAGCGGGCAAGCCAAATTTACCCCGACAATTGTTGATACGACACACGACGTGCTCAACACTTCTGACCCTGATATGCAGGGTCGCTGCTCGGTCAGTGTGCCGCTGCAGGCTAACTGTGTTTGGGGATTGTGTGTGTGTGGTGAGTGGAGTTGGAGAAAAAAAAAGGATAACCCCAAAATACCTCTGTTACTGGCGCTGTGTCGTAACATTTCCGAGCCAGCCCCGCCCAACATCAAAATGGGTTCAACTAGAGTTCACAACATATGGCCACACCTCCTCGCCATCGCGTCATCAAGCAGAAGGCATGTTGTCATGAGCAAGGCCTCACCTACACGCTTGTTTCTGTGGGGTGACATTCGCGTCATATCAACAGTAGCTTGTAAAATGTCCTGATTTAGAGCAAGTTTTGTCTTGAATGGACCAACAAAGAAGGCCTGCTATTAGTTTACAACAAAATGAATTTGTTTGCAGTAATTTTAAATGATTATTAAAAAGTAAATTAATAAAGAAATACAAATATTTCATAAACTGCAAAATTCTACAGAAATATGAAGGCAACAAAAGAGTTGTGAAATATGTATTACATTTTTCTCACTAAAACACACACACTCAAATTATAATACCAAAAATATGGACAGGAAGATGAATAATATCACCATTTTATTATCAGTTAATGTACATTTCTAAATATGTGCCTTCATTATAGGCAGATTTAGGAATAGGGTACATGTCATATATATTTTACATTATTTTTTTTAAACTATGTTACATAGTTTAAAAAAATAATGTAAAATATATATGAATAATTTTTTTTTTAACAATTACAAATTAAATGTACTGGTAAAATAATTGTATAGTATATTAAATGCACAAGAAAATAAATGGTATGAAGAAAGTAGGATTTTAATGTACTATTTATTTTGTATTACATAACCTTCTAATCTCATGTATTTTAATTTATTTTTGTTTCATTACAACTTATTTTTGGCATATGTGTATTTAATATTATTTTTTATTTGTATGTTTTTGTCTTTGTAATGGTGTACCTTCTTGACCAGGACAACTATAAAAAAAAATTAATTTCAAGGGTAAATAAATAAATAAAATTGATACAAATGTTTAAATTTAAAAAAAAAAAGATTAATTTCATATGAACCTCAAATATTTTTTTTTATTAGTAGACGTATTTGTTCTGAAACCTGACAAGATGAAATAAAAATGCATATAAAATTATATTTTACGCAGTATTATTTAATCGGAAAGTCAATTTATAAAGCAGTCAAACAAGTAACATTCAATAGGTTTTTTACAGAATAATGTAATTTTAACAACCTCACAGATTTTTTTTAACAGTGCTTCCAAGTAGAAATCAACTCAAGCATTTTCCACTAAACCATTAATTTGGGATACCAACACTGTTGGGTTCATTGCCTCCAAATGATGATGATGATGTAACCCACTAAAATTCAGTGAAATTGTTTAATTAAAATATAGAGATTAAACTACAAGATGCTATTTTTAAAAAAAATCTTTCTTTGACTTTTAAACGATAGAAAACAAATGACCTTGACAAAATACTGTTATTGCAATTAATATACATTTTAAATAGAAAATAAATAAATAAATAAATAAATAAATATGTATATAAACATTATTTTCTTGTCATATATTATATTGCAAACATAAGTAATGTGTTATAAAACCAATTCTTTTGCTCTACTCTCAAAATGACTGTGTGACTAAACCCAAACTCATCACTTATTAGGAGAATTATAAACACAAGCTCACATAGTGAAGTTCATCTTTTTTATTTAAAGACAATGGTACAAAGAAGGTCATGTACATTTTGAGAGGCAACAAAACAAAACAAATAAATAATGAAAAATAAATATGAAATAAAGAATACTCAGTTTATAACATCACTTTGGTGAGTTTAGTGTAAAATGTGAAGAAATTATTACGAGACAAACAACATAAATGCCTGTAAAAAGTGCAGTGCCTGTTTTAGCACTGCCTTGTACCTAAAGCAACTCTAACCGTGCTGATGTTCATTTAAAAAAAAAAAAAAAAAAAACCACACACACACACAAAAACCCCCAGCTTCTAACAGTGGACTCATCACATACCAGTCATGCAGTAATAAGAATGAAATATTTCAAAGACTAAGAGCGCCCACCAGTGTTGAAAATATATATGAAATCAGCATCATGATATTAGCAATGTGTACTTTGTAGTGCTTTCCAATGAAAAAAAATATTCTTTGTATTAATTGTTGTAATTATTTCTGATTACTTTAGTGTTTAATTATTGTCTCACTTACTGTGACATTTAAAAAAACATATCGGCAATGTGTTTAAGCGCTTGTTAAATTAATAAATACAATATGAGAAAAATGTAAAACAGTGTCGTCAATGGAAAGTTGAATATTTCATTTGACCAAGTGTAATTAAATTACTGTAAATTAAAAAAGATAAAAAATAAAAATACAAAAATTAAGTTCTAAATCCTTCTGCTATTTCAGACAAAAGGGCCTGCCTTTAAAATCTCTGTACTGTACAGTTTTGGCATTAATAACATATTAATATTGTTTATCACAACAGAAGGTCAATAGGTCAAGGTATCATTATGTTTCAGTAGGAAATATTTAGACAGCGATATTTTTTCAGTTATAATTTTTTACAACAGATTTGAGATAAAATTGAAATCTTTAAAGCTTTTATGTCTTTAAGTAATTACAGCGATGTTCATTTACAGACCCCTGTCTTGAGAGGCACCACGTAATTGTAAAAATAGTTGTAATCATAATTAAAATAAAAATCATCATTTTAGATTTTGGCCTTTCTATTCTTGAAGCCAATAAAGTCTACCCTTGTGAAGTCTTCCAGTTACAGACTAGCCAGTCAATGACACTCGTGCGCTGATCTACCGCCAATGTCTTCTGTGGCTCACCAGTATCGTTATTTTCATATATCCATCATACTGTTGATTTCTCAAATCCTAATGTTGCTGTTATCTCTGCAATAGAGTTGTTTTTGCAGCCTATCCAACATTTATCTCTGTTGATTCCAAGTTCACACGCATAACTCAAAATCCAAATGCTGCATTTGAAATCAACTTACGAGCTTTTAACTGTTTAACTAATGCAAAAAAATAATGAAAGAATAGTTTACACCTGTCCATGAAAAAGGTCCATTGAGCAAATTACCTTTAGTCCCCTGGAAAAAAACAAAAAAGGGGGCAAAAGCTTAAGAAGCTGTAATTCCTAAACCCTAAAAACACCCTCAAAAAAATTCAGGGAGTTAGCAAGTT